AAAGGCAAGCTGAGCATCTTCTATGGAAGAACTTCTCTGCCCTGATAGCATCCCTGATCCGCTGTACAGAGTTTCTTGGCACGCGTTAAATAAACAGTAATGAAAATAACAGGCCTTCCTGGTTGTATTGGGAACTGAATGTGCACGCCTGTGTAAGGCCCTCTTTGTTGCACGCGGCATGTTAACATAATAATAGGTCTCTGGCTTCTTCTCCCCTCTCTAGTCATGTTGATTGCCCATTGACTGCAGCTCCACGCAGATTGGAGGAGGGGGGATAATTATACTGACAGGCATTTAATCCGCAGCTTTTGTGGGTTGTGTGATGACTTGATTGCCTGCTGTCAGAGGGGCACATCCCCGGAGTTAGATCACTGTGCAGCCGGCATTATATCGAACTCATGCACTTTTCTATGCCAGTCCCGGCTGACTCCGAGGCACAGTCTGTAGCAGCAGGGTGCGAATAATGCTTGCACTGGCTATAATGGGAACTGTGTACTCATGAGATCATTTAGCATCGAATGGAGAATCTGGTTACCAATTGGTGTACTGCTGTGAACTTTTTTTTTTTTTTTTTTTTTTTTTTTCAGGAGGCCTAAAAAGCCAAGGCAATAAGAGATTTTTTTTTTTGGTCTGTGTAATGTGCTGCCTACATTTTACTTTAATCAAACTTTCGTGTGCAGTGAGGCACTGGTGATGTAGACAAGGGTATCACATCTGTTCTCTAGGAGATGGCAATGTCACCAGTGCTTTCCTGGGGGATCTCGCCTCTAAACTGCAAAATCTGTGAGATGTCAGGGGAAAACTTTTTTTTTTTTTGTGGATTCAGCAATGTGTCAGGTGCGTAAGGCTCCTTTCACACAGAACAGAACCCACTCCAATCAGCAGGGGATCCATGAGCAGATCCCTTGTTGAATAGGAGCTGAACAGGACAAATGTTTGTGGACCCATGACCGATTTGTGAGCGACCAGATATAAACGGACTCTGCTGTCAGCTTGCATCAGGCTACCTCTGATCTGTCATATTGAGGTCTGGAAAAATGGAAAAGGACACCTGTGCATAGTGTACAAACCTATTCCCCGATCATATATGTCCATCTGCTATAGGCGGGTATATCTGCGCATGCCTACTAATGCAGGCCATAGACTGTTCGTTTATCGGCCGAAAAATGAAAAATCGGTCGTTTTGTTGTCACCAATGCCTACGAAAATTGGCCGTTTTTCGTAAATTTTCCAGCAGGACCGATTAAAAGAAACAAGGAGGAACCGCGAAAATCAGCCAACGACATTGCCCCACTAATGGTGCGAATATAGGCCGAATATTCTTTCGGGCGAAAATTAGGCCGATAAACAAACGAACCGTCTATGGCCTACTTATGTCTGAGCAGCTGTATGAAGCACCTGGGCTTCCTGGCATGAAAAAAGGGGCAAAGGCACATTTTCAGGGTATTGCTTAGGCACACGGAACACTTGTAAATCTTCCCTATAGTAGCAGATCTTCTCTTTCCGAGTACAGTTCTACTGTAAGACCTGAAGCTGAGTGTTGTTCACCTCTATAATTTGTAGAGTATTAGTTATTTGTGTTATGTAACAGGTCTTTGTACGGGTCTGAATTAGTACAGTTTTACCATAGATCTCTTTTACCTAGTCATAGCATTGTATCTGCTTTATGATGTTTATATTCGATGAAAAAGTGAAGCGTTAGAGACCTTTTTATAGGCTGACAGTCTTGGTAACCATGTCCTGGGGCATATATGTTTTCTCACGTAACAGGGTGGGGTTGATATTCTGTGTGTGAGAACGCCGAATAAAAGTAGATGTTGACTTGATGTACTGTATGTTCTTGACCTCATTTCCAGGCCATGGTGGAGAGAGATGTATACGCGGATATATACACACTTATTACTGACTCCGCACTCTCCCTTCTTGTTGATTGTTTATTAGCTGTATACGGATACAGATATTCAGTGATGGTGCCGTGAGCAGTGTTGTGCTAGTACTCCAGGCGACCAATCGGAAATGAGCTTTCAATTTTTAATCTGCATGCTCCATGGGGTGTTTTTTTTTCCTTTTATGGGGTAATCTGTCTCTTAGTTTTAAGCATTATTTCCAATCATGTGCATTTAGCAGTAAAATATACATTTTTATGGTGGCCATACCAGCATTGAAAGAGAAGCATGGTGAAAGCTCTTTTGGCCACACTTTTCATATGGGTCACAGGAGTGCACTTTGTTCTCCCATTGCCCAGAATCATCTGACAGTGGGCTATATTGCCCACTTCTTTAGTTTTTTAATGGTTCAACCCAAATGATCTTAGACCTAAGGCTAGCCATACGTATTAGGATGACTGAGCTAGAGTGATCAATCAATTCCTTCACCCACGCTAAACAGATGGAGACCTCTTCCCTGCTAGCCCCTGTGGTTGTCAAAATACCCAAACACTGCCTGCATCTGATTGGTTGTAGTCACTGTTCGCCTAATAATTTTCCACCTGGCTCCTTCGATTTCCAAATTAAAGTTTTTCAAGCTGGGTATATCCAACAGAGCCACCCTTGGCTTGAATTTTAGTAGATTCAGCAGGGATCGGCAGATATTCTAGCCATGTATGCCCAGCATTAAATTGTTGTTCCATGCTACAGAAGAACGTGGTGTTTTTGTATCAATCCAATAACTACAGAAGAAAGTGGTGTTTTTCTTTGTATCAATCCAATAACTTCAAAGTGAAAAAAGATTATTTAAAAAAGAAAATTAAAAAAAAAAAAAATTTAAATATTTACACCATCCATCCATTTTCCTAATTATCCAACTCATCTGATTAGTTTCATCTTTCAGTTTGATCTGGAAAGGTTGGTTAGAAGCAATGGAATTGATGGCAAATAAATAATTCCTAGAACCAATTGTAACGCTAATACAATTGTTTTATCAAACTACTGGATCAATAGTGTTTTTTAGCCAGTATAGGATTCATAACAGTTCTTGAAAGCGATTATTCTAAGTAAGTTGAAAATCATTTTAAACCATCTCCAATATCTGTTGGTCATCAGCGGTTGTTTAGTTGAATGTTATTTTACCTGAGTTTCAGATTGTCGTCACATTTTTTAAACTCCGCCAAGTATGGCTAGTCTAAGCTGAGTTCAAGTTGGCCAACATAGTTTAATTCCTTCACTTCTGTTATTACTTTTTTAACTCTATCTTTCAGGCTTATTTACTGAAGATGGAGTGAGAATTGGAGCAGAACTAGAAAAGTCATTAGATTTCCTGCTGTGTTTGAAAGATTGACACCTGTGTAACTGCTAAGGGCAAATTTTCCTGTTTCTGTACAGTCTTTTAGATTTCCTAAAACTGTGATGTGAGGACAAGCTTAAGGCCCCTTTTGCAGGGGCAGGCCAATCGCCTGGCCATTTTTCCGGTGGACCTGATCGGTCCATCCATTCTCCTCTATGTAGCGGCGGATGTAAACAAACATGTTTGTTTATACCCGCCTGCATCTGATCTGCTAAAAACAGATGGATGGGGATCCATTCCCCCATCCATTTATTGGATCGGTTGACTGTTGGATGTAAACAGATAGGTGGTCCATTTACATCTGACCACTCATAGAGAAAATAAGGCTGTGTCTGCTCTGCATAAGTGGAGTAGTCTTGGACCTGTCATTGCCTGCTCAGCGAGGATCATCAGACAAATTCCCCACTGAGCATGCGGATCCGCTGGTGTAGTCCACCCGTGTGAAAGGGGCCTAAACCATTCAATCTGTATCAAACCAGACAGGCTGTAATACTACACAGTTGATGGTAGAAATAAAGGAGATTGTACAATCAGATTGTATAGCATAATGTCAACAGCATATGTGAAGTCAAGAATGCAACGTGTCCTCATCAAAAAGCATATACTACATACATGCTCCTTGTTGGTATCCATCCAGAGGCTTTCAGTTCCCCAGATATTGGTATTATTGTCCTGATAATTAAAAACAGAAAATACTCCTGCCATGTCTATATAAAGTTTACAATTGTCCTGATAATGCCTCCAGTGCATGCACACCCTCTCGCACATTTGTTGCACTGTGGCTGTGCCATGATGTGATGAGTGCCTGTGCTGGGATGACATTATCAATTCTTTCCAGCATAGGCACTCACTTTCATGAGTTTACTTTGTAAAACCCCAATATGACTACCAACATCACAGGAATTGGAAATTCTTTTAAAGGGTCACCTCCTTTACCTAGTGTATGCACCATGGAGGAAGCTGGATTGGAGTTGAAAGTGATGATTGGCTCCTTTCTGTCCTTGCACATTCAGAATTTCACAAAGACATTGAAGGGAGGAGGACGGGATTGGGGAACTAAGTGCCAAGACACAGGCAAGATGCGGTTGATCTCAAGAATGTTCAGGGAGAAGAGCAGCCTAGCTGCAACCTATAGTAAGGTCTAAAGTAAAGCTTTTTGGAGCATTGATTACTAATGGGGCTATGATGGTTTTTGGTTGGCGAATGGCAGACTTACCTGCACTTTAAGGTCTCCGTGTTGACCTTGGTGGCCTGTCCACATCATTTTAGGTAAGGTGGGTGATGGATTATTTTTCTAAAGGAAACCTTCAACAATTTGCTTATGGTCAGCCATCCCCCTGGCTACATTGGGCCAATTTTAGATTGATTTCCATAAAATATAGCACAACATTGTTTACATCCTCTTCACTACACTGTGACCAACATCTCAATTCGTAAAGTAGAGAACATGGAGAGTTTGTGACTGCTGAAGGGACATTGTGTTATACACTCCTTTCAGACAGATGATAGAATCAGTCAGTGCTGTATAAATTATTGAAACAGAAAAAAATTTACTTTTTTCCAAAACTATGAGTTCATGGTAGGTTGTGTTAACTGGCACTTCTAGCTGTGAAGAGTGCCAATACAAGCCAATTCTGCTAGAAAAAGATCATTTTTTACTCCCTGCTTGTTTTATGTCTATTAAAATCTGACCCATCCATGAAGTATTTTCTGTCTTTTCTCCTCTGGCAGAACTGAACAGCACTGATCTGAAAGGATGTGTAAGCGAGAACAGTTTGAGCAGCAATGCCAGCCTGCCCAGTGTACAAAGCTGCCGCAAACTCGGCGAGCGCAGGGTGGCCAGTTGGGCTGTGTCGTTCGAAAGGCTTCTTCAGGATCCAGTTGGCGTTCGGTATTTTACGGTAAGTAATACTTATCATTACACTTACATGGTAACAGCAAGTCAATGCTGCAGGGGGCCAGATTAAAGTGGAGTTCCAGGGAATATTTTGCAACTGCGACAAGTGCAATACGTGACCTTTTATTTATTGGGACCACAGCATTGCTGGATACTGTGGAAATTACAGTTTAATTCACAGTGGATATTACTTACTGCACCCTTCTGGTGGTATTGCGACTAATAGTTCTGGCTATAGTACAGTGAAAGGATTGTGGTATTCATTCTCTGCTTCCGTCCCCCCCCCAATCTATTCATAAAAAGCCTTGTATTCTGTTCACTGAACATTCTGTGAATGGATGGGGGGGGGGGGGGGGGTAAACAGCATCTCCTCTTGTCCACTCACAAAGGTTGGAGTTCCATTTTAATGTAGAATTTAGTGTAATCAGCCACTCCAATCTTACTGGACTTGCTTGTAGGAAAGTGATCAAAAAAGCCCCTGCAATATGTGATTTATTGTAGTTCAAAATGAGATTTACAATTGCAAAGCAGCTACAATATTTTCACTGCATTGGAGCCTCTTGGTCAGTGGTCTCCAAGCATTCTAAGCACAGGGCCTGTTTACTCTCCTTCAAACTTAAGTAGGGCCAGACTGTGGCCAGTGGGAATAGAAAATATTGCCCATCATTGGTGACAGTGGGAGGTATATTGCCCCATCATTGGTGACAGTGGGAGGTATATTGCCCCATCATTGGTGACAGTGGGAGGTATATTGCCCCATCATTGGTGACAGTGGGAGGTATATTGCCCCATCATTGGTGACAGTGGAAGGTATATTGCCCCATCATTGGTGACAGTGGAAGGTATATTGCCCCATCATTGGTGACAGTGGAAGGTATATTGCCCCATCATTGGTGACAGTGGAAGGTATATTGCCCCATCATTGGTGACAGTGGAAGGTATATTGCCCCATCATTGGTGACAGTGGAAGGTATATTGCCCCATCATTGGTGACAGTGGAAGGTTTAGTTGCCCCATCATTGGTGACAGTGGGAGGTTTAGTTGCCCTATCATTGGTGTCAATAAGAGGAATAGTGCTCCATCTTTGGTGTCAATAAGAGGAATTGTGCCCCATTGTTGGTGTCAGTGGGAGGAATTGTGCCCCGTTGTCTGTCAGTGGCAGGAACTATGCTACACTGTTGCTAACAGTGGGGGAAATAATGGCCAACGGACCGCTGTTTGTAGACAAATACTCTAGGTGTAAGATACCTGTACTCAGTCCAGTCAATTTGGTGGATCAGATGGTGGTCATCTTTTTGGGTACAAGTAGACAGCTGAGGTTCGTTCTCTTGTGAACTGTTAAATCACCTGGTTAGTATATTTTAGCCAAATTATGGTTGACATTGGGGCCTTTCCTGCAGTACATTTCTCTGCTGATCGTTGGAGTGTTTGCAGAAAGCTAATGTCTAAAGGGAATATATTGTCTGTTGAATTTAGAAATGTATTTAAAAGACATTAGATTGCTGTAAATAATGCTATTGGTGTGCATTTACTGTATGTGTTAGAAACATTGTTTCTATGTGTAGTTTGTAATGATACGTCATACATGGGGGCAGCCATATGAATATATAGCTTCTGCGTTGCTTAGTGGTTGTACTTTTTCTACTGCTTCTCACAAAGTCTGCCAAACACCTTGGTCTGCTTTTGAAATATATCTTAAGTCCTCACCTTGTTAAACAACCCATTCAGTTTAAAATATAAATACCATCCCCCCCCCCCCATATTTTTTTAATACGTGATCACAGATCACATACCCTCTGTTCTCAGTTGCATAAGTGCTGGGGGAGGAGAAACGTCACACTGAGCTTCCAAGTGAATGTCCCTGGTATTTCACACAAAGGAAGCAATACAAAGAGAACCGAATACTTTTTCATACAAGTACATGGTACAGCAGGCACATATCAGGAATGTGAAATGTTGGGTTTACGTATTCTTTATGCGTGAAATTTTTTAAATGTGTATTAAATAAAGAGAAATGAAATAATGAGACCTTAGACACCGTTATTAGAATCTAATACTCTGTGATAGTGGTCCTTTATCTGAAGCAACCCTTGGCAGCCATTAAGGTTTTTTTTCTGGTCCAACTTGAGCCAAGAAAATTTCAATTTGTGGTTGTTTGGCTGCATTTAAAAAATATTTATTTTATATGTTTGCAAAATCCTATTAGAGAGTCTTTTTTTTTTTTTTAGGCTGCATGTGCTGTAGTGTGGTGTTTTTTTTTTTTTGTGGTTTTTTTTGTTTTTTGTGTTTGTTGTTTTTTTTTGTTTTTTTGTTGTTTTTTTAAGCTCAAAAATTCTGCGAAAAACACTGGATAAAAAATTATGGTAATAGCGTTTTTAGTAGCGTTCATAAGCGTCTAGGAGCTTTAATTTTATTACTGTTTTTATATTACATGTAGAGGGAAAAAGAAAAGAAAAAAAATTAGAAAAAAACTTTTAGGAGTATTTAGGGTATTTTTTTTTTTTTTTTTTTTTCCTGCTCCTAGATGCTTAAATTAAAAAAAAATGCTAACAGCCTAAAGTAGTGTGCATGGATAGGATAACACAATTTAGCTTCTAGGAGAAGAAAAAATATGCTGATAGCTTCAAGGAGCTTCAGAAAATGCTAGTGTGCATAGAGCAGTTGGTGCTGTTTCTTTGCAGGTTTCTTTTTTTCATTACATATTGAACAGCAGCAGGGTCTCTGTAAAGACTGAACACTCAGTTTCCTGCAAAAGTCCATTTGTGACTGGTTCTCTTTAATATTCGCATTCTTTATTGACTACGTCAGCTGACGTTTCTTATAGGAGGAGACTCTTTGAACTCTCAGGATTTGGTTTTGCCCTCTTACAGTTTATAGACTGTATATTTAGCTTTTACATACACATTTATATTGGACTTTTTTTTATTATATGTATTGTATGAGTGTCCTTGTATTATTTATTGCTGGTCTCTGGGACTGACCTTGACGTTGGGAGGTTGTTGCTCTCCTGGATCCTGTTCACCACCTGCTTCTAGTTCCTGAACCTTCTAGAACTTTAAAGAGTATTCTATGTGTTCTTTTATAGAAAGTGGCAGTAAAAGGAGTAATCTTCTGGAATGTTTGCACTTGGGTCACTCACCAGTTTAAGATCGGGAGGCGTTTCAGTCCATTATCTGCAAGTAAAAGTTGAATTGTCAGTAGAAGACCGCGAACACTTACATGGACAGTGCGTCTTTGATCACACCAGCTTGACCTTCAGAGGGAGAGGCTTATTTCCATGGGGTCCACCACTGAGCCCAGATACTTGAATGTGGTGTTAGTTGGATAATAGAAGAGTCTTCTTATCCCCGTTTTTACTTCATAACAGAATAAGGTCGTGTTTACATTGGAGCAATTTCTGATGGGATCAGAGTCGCACAGAATCGCATGACAAAGGAAATTGCTTTGTTTTCAATGGCGTCCATTCACAACAATGTGACAGAACAATTTTGGAAGAGGTTCCTGTGTTACTTTGGTGCAATTTTGGCTCCATAGAATATACAAACCTTATCAAAGTTGCATCCAAGTAGTGCTGCATAATCGCACTGGAAGTCAGATAAAAATCGTACCGCAGCAGTATGCATTTTAATTTTAATATGTGGCTAGCCTTAGACCTCCAGGGACCTGTCTGTCTACTGACACATGACCAGAGTCATTTTTTAAGGGCTCCTTTTACATGTGAAAAGTGATCCATGCTCAGATGGCTTTTCAGAGGATTTGAAAGGTGGTGAGACAATATGTTTTCTCCCCACTACCTGATTTATTCCTATAATTGCCGCACTACCATGCAGCTATAGTGTGCTGTGTGGTCCCATAGAACTGCATTTGATGGCAGCCCTGCCCACCAAAATAAACATGCTGCTTAAGATTTGCCATGGCATGTGTTCACTTGTGAGCGACTGTATGTCAGGGTTCAGGTGGGCGGTTGGGGGGTAAATCCATGGCTCAACCGCCTGGTTTTACTGGCAACATGTGTGACCAAAGCCGTAGAATAGTAAATTGAAATAGAGAGTGCATCATTCATTAAAGTGGTTCTAAATCCTCACATATACCCAGTGAAGTTACTGGCATTAGGTGATACACAGAGATTAAACACATTCCTCCTACATAAGTTGTACCTGTTTATCTACAGCTGTCTTTCCCCTACATCACAGGTGTGGAGACAAACTGGCCGTCCAGCTGTTGCTAAACTACAAGTCCAATGAGGCATTGCAAGATTGACAGTTACAAGCATGATTCCCAAAGGCAGAGGCATGATGGGACTTGTAGTTTGGCAACAGCTGGAGGGTCGTCAGTTTGACACCCCTGCCCTACATCCATTCAGCATGCAGCATTACCACAGGATCTCTCAGCTTTCAAAATCGGGGGGAGGGGAGCTGAAGTTACATCAGTGAGGAGAGCTCTGAGAGCTGATTGAAGGGAAGGGACATGCCCTCTTCACACAGCTCACAGGAACAGAGCTGAGGCTGTCAATCACAGGGTGTGCCCTCCCAGTCACCATTTTTCTCTTGGTGTCAGGAAAAGTAATCAGCAGCGACTCATGCTTATAGGAGAAGAACGAGGCAGCAAATAGAAATTACACTTGTTCCTGCGGATTGATTGAGACACACTATAGAGGCATATACGTTCATGTCTGATATTTACAGCCACTTTAACCCCCCTGGCAGTATTCCCGAGTGTATCTCGGGGTAACGTTTTAGCGCCACAAGCGGTAACCCCGAGCTACACTCGGGAATACCCTGCAGCGTTGCTCCGGGATCTCTTCTTCACTTACCTTGTCCTGCTCTCCCGCGATGTCCCCCCTTCAGCGTCTCCGGCCATGTCCTCCGGCCGATGCCGGCATCTGTCATCTGGGTTCCGTTCCCTGCGAGCGTCGGGACGTACGAGGACGGAACGGCGGGAAATTTAAAAATGTCAAAAAGTGACATTCACTAAATACACTAAAATCACATAGTAAAACATTCCTGTATTAAACCATTTCACATACATTTTGTCCCGAGTGCTTTGTCCTGTGCCCTGCCTGCATTTTTACTGTTCTTTCTGCCTGGAAACTGAGAAATGTTCATGGCGTCCAAAAAGTGTCCCTTTAGGTCAAAATCGGTTTTAGATCAGCTAGAGAACAGCGATAGTAAATTAGAACCACTTGCAGAATTGAGTGATAATGATTTGTGGGGAAATTCCTCATCAGACACTGAAAACGATTCTGCGACTGAGCTCAGTGATGTGCGAACTTGGCGCTATATTTCAAATTTCAGTGTTTTTGGTTTGATTATATTATTGAATTACATTTATTCTTATTATATTATTTTTTATGATTATTTATTAAATTATAATTTATGATTTGGTGTTTCAAATTTTATCATACCCGGGATGTTTACTAGACTCTTGTTCGGATAGATTTTAGTGAATTATTCCCAAAAATTACAGGCCTACAATAAAAAAAAACTACATATTTCCATGCAAAAAAATGTACCGCTTTGAGCACAGAAATACTGCCATAATCAGACCGCTAGGGAGGTTAAGCCAGTACATTATTTTTTTGTATCTTTGCTATAGGTAGGCTACTCCAGTCCATGTAGGAGTTTTGGGTGTTTCTGGCCACTCTTGCATGTTGCAATGTCTCCTGTTGCATTCTCCATAATATGAAATAAAAAAAAAAAATCCAACGGAAAGCATGGGAAGCCTTCCTAATGTCATCAGGTTTTCACTCCTAGGAACCTGACAGCAGAGATGTCCACAGAGTCCTCCAACAATTTAAGGAACTGTCAAGTAGTTTAATTCTCCATCATCTACCAAAGAACATACAATCTACCAATGTCTTTATTTCATCGGACATCCACCATTGGTGCGCTCATGCAGTTTTCAGTAATTCATGATGTCTGCTAAGCAGGAAGATGTTTGGAGACAGGCAGTGGCGAAGGGTTGTAACTTCTCTAAAATGATAACGGAGTTCTGCTATGAGGCTGGCTCAGGTACAAATAGTATCTCATAGTGTATTTCTCATTTTTTTGCTTTTATTTGCCTGTAGGAGTTTTTGAAGAAAGAGTTCAGTGAGGAGAACATTTTGTTCTGGCAAGCCTGTGAATATTTCAGTCGTGTTCCAGCCCATGACAAAAATGAGGTAATTTCTTATTGTTGTTGTTTGTTATATTTTTTTCACTGCTTTTCTACAACCTAAACCTCACAGAACGTCATCACTTGATTCCTGTAAAAATCACATTTACCTCCGTGAAAGCGCCACCTCCATCTGGTAACCACTCCAGTTTTCTCACCGCTATAGTGCCTGTGGACCACAGAAAGTTTTACATTCTGCTATGGGACTGTCTATTCGACAATAACTTTGTATTACCCAGATATCATAAGTAATGACAAAGTACATTTTTTTTGGACAGGCCAGGGTTTCTTTTATATTGTCTTTTGCAATAATATATTTTTATCATAAATTGAAAATAAACCCTTTTTCTTCTTTGATCAGCGCTGGTTAAAAAAACATTTATATTAACCACTTCAAGTCCGGACACTTTCACCCCCTTCCTGTCCAGGCCAATTTTCAGCTTTCAGCGCAATCACACTTTGAATGACAATTGCACGGTCATGAAACACTGTACCCATAGGAAAAGTTTTGCATTTTTTTTGAGACCAGTACAACTTTTTATTTTGGTTGTATTTATTTACCACTGGGATTTTTTTTTTTTTTTTGCTAAATGAAAGACCAAATTTTTTTTTTTTTTTTTTTAAAAAAAAAAAGACTTTTTTTTTGCTAAATAAATGAAAGACCAAATTTTTTTGTTTTTTTTAAAAAAAAAAAAAGTGCTTTTCTTATACAATTTTGCAAATCATCTTTCTTCACAAACCTTGGCCAAAATGTATTCAGTTATCTTTTTGGTAAAAAAAAAAAAACCCAAATTAGTTTATAAATTTTTTATATATATATATATATATATATATATATATATATATATATATATATATATATATATATAGAATGTATATTTTTTTTTTTTTTTTTTTTTACATACTGTCACCCTCTACTTGTGGGGGGTGATTAGGATTATTTTATTTTACACTGATTGCTATTACACCCATAAAGGCTGTAAAAGCATTCATTTCTATTTCTCTCTGGCTGCATTTCTGCAGCCATTGGGAAATACTGTGAGAGCTGTGATTGGTCACAGCTTATCACATGGTACAAGGCTGGTGTGAATAGCCTTGTACCATGTGACCTCTGTGATAATTCACAGATTTCACAAGTAGTAAGCAATGATGTCAGGAAGTGACATCTTATTTACTACTTTACTACTGTTCATGTGATCAATAATTGGCCAATCAGGGATCACATGAATCCGGACCTCACACAGAGGTCCCATACAGCGATCTGTGTTCTGCTGTGTCTGGCGGTCACAGATCACGGTGCTGCGCGCTCCCGGGGAGCGCGCACAGGTAATGGATGTGGGGGGACGTTTAGAAACTTCCCCCCGCATCGGCAGCACTCCCGTCCAGCCGTTTATTGGCAATGGCCCGAATGGGAAGAGGATAAAAAGTTTCAATTTTGTACTTTTATACTTTTTCCAGTTGCATTAAAAAAAAAACTAGCTAGAAAAAGATTTAAATAATCCTTCCGATTCTAATTTAAAAAGTTATAGAATAACACTTATAGCAGTATAAAATCCAGAAAAAACATGGTGACTCCATTCATTGTGCTTGTTTACATTTTTTCAATCTTACTATTTTTATTTTATTTAAAGCACATTGTTTCCCTTTATTTTCACCTGGTGATCTGGCCAATAACACACTTCTTCTTTTTTTTCCTCTTCGGATAAATAATTTACATAAAAGCTCACTGTGGTAAGCACCCCTGTCAGCATTAAATGATTTGTCTCATCTCTCCAGTTGCTGCTTTTGCTGAACAGCTTGGTCTGTTGAAGGAAGTTGAAAAATTAGATTTACTGGCTGGATCAACAAGTGAAAAAAGGCAAAAATAAATAAAACAAATGCAGTCACATCTAAGAATTGATGAGCTGCAATCTATTATGCCCCTTTCACACAGGGCAGACTCCACCTGTGGTCTGCTTGCTCAGCAGGGGATCTGAGTGAATGGATCCCCATCCATTTGTTTTTATCCTATCAGATTGGATGTAGGTAGGTGTAAACACATTTTTTTTTTTTTTTTTTTTTTTTTGGGTTTTTTTTTACACCCGCCGCTCCATAGAGGAGAATGGAAGGTTTTGATCAGAAAAATGGACAAGCGGACCCGATTGGAACTTCCATGTGAAAAGTGTTCTTCAATTAAGTGTTTTTGGTGTCTAGCATGCCCAGTACCAACAGCTGGCTGGAAAATTGTCCCTCGCTCTCTGTCCCAGTAACTCCAGGACAAGAAATGGTCAGGTTCCGATGCCTGAGTCAGGAACACAGAGCAATATGAACTTGACAAATACTCTGACCCCTCTCCACATCAGAAAGAGATCCTTTCACATCCTGTCCCTGTGACAATCCATTACGTGGGTGGGAAGTAAAAGTACATTTCCCCAACAGGGACATAGCTGTCAAAAGTTAACAGAGCTTCTAACCTTTCCCCAATCTATGCACAAAATAAATGTGTGTGTTTATTTATTGATATATATATATATAATCTCTTGTCCTGTAATTAACATCAGTGTTTTATCTCTGATTTGCAGTTGTCTTACAGAGCCAGGGAAATATTTAACAAGTTTTTGAGCAGCAAGGCGACCACTCCGGTCAACATTGACAGTCAGGCTCAGCTTGCTGATGACATTCTCAATGCCCCACATCCGGATATGTTCAAAGAGCAGCAGCTGCAGGTAATTTTGGTTTTTAGGTGAAGGCCTCCCCTAATTTACTTTTTACATTGCTGTGTTAAGCCCCATATACACGGGCTGAATATCGACTGAAATCAGCCGGTACAGTAGCTACCAGCCGACATTCAGGCTGCGTGTACAGGTCCTTGTTTGACAGAAGCATATCTCATTGTTGGTATCTGATCAGTGCTGTCAGACAATGGCTGCGAGCGCTGACCAGTGTGTTCTGGGGGTCCCAACACCCTGTCAGAACACAATAGCTCAGCGGGGAGATCACTGTACGAATGTCACATCGTTGGTAGAGTCCTCCTCGCGAGCCCCTCATACTTACCATGTGTACCAGGTTTCAGGGTGGCCATCCATGTAGCAATTTGGACGGTTCAGGTATGTCCAATCACAAACAATTCATCATCAAAATATTGAATAGTTGATCAGTTATAAATGTAGACTATCTTTGAAAAGGATCACTTAAAGCGATTCTGAAGGTTAATTTTTCTCTTTTTTTTTTTCTAAAATAACAAATATGTCTTCCCAGCTGTGTGCAGTGGTTTTGCACAGAACAGCCTGGATCCTCCTCTTCGCGGGTCCCCCACAGGTTCTCCTGGCTCCTCCTGTATGTCAGGTGCCGCCCATAGCAAGCAGCTTGCTATGGTGGCACCCGCTGCTCCATGTGTGTCCATTCACACACACAGCTGTGGCTTGGCCCCACCCCCTCTCTCTCCTCATTCGCTGCCAATGGCTCCCGCTTGCTGTCTCAGCCAGTGAGGAGGCAGAGACCTGGAACAGCCAAGGCTGTCATTCACATTGCTGGATCGTGATGACGCTCAGTTAAGTATTGAGGGGGCTGGGGGCACTGCTGTACACAGAAGGTTTTTTATCTTCATGCATACAGTGCATGAAGGTAAAAAAAAAACCTTGAGCCTTTAGTAGCACTTTGATTTTTTTTTTTTTTGATTTTTAAACAGAATTTACTAGATCTGAATTAGGAGATATTTATTCAGTCAATTAGAAGCAATACACAAAATCTGCCACAGCCAATCATTGTGTTGTTCTAAATTGATCAAGAACTCACTAAATGGATTGAATGGAAGGTCTTTTGGTTTGCTGTTATTATTTAATTCAATTATTTTGGTCCCATAGTGTGATCGCTTATATGATCATTTTTTTTATGAATAACATTTTATTAAATTTTCCACATGTATATACATACATGACATTTAAAAAAAAAAATAAATATAAAGAAAAACAAAGGGATCATCGATGCTAGTAACATGGGTAGAAAAATAACAGTATGCAATGACAATAGGGCAACATTGGAAGGACACACATGCTTCTGTGTTGGTGCAAAGTGGTAGGTGACAATCCTTAAATGGCTAGCATGCCCGCTCACCTTCCCCCTGCGACCCACAGGGGCCAAATAGCCTTACGGGTCACACCTTGACCCTATGCGTTATCTCCAGGTGCAAGACACTCTTCACTCTCCAGTACTCTCTCCTTCACCATCTGCTATTCCCCTTGAATAGGTACCGCTGTACATGTATTCAAAAACTCATGGGATGGTGATAATCATGAAACAAAAACACAAAGATCCTCCATAGTGCAAAACTGTATATCACGTTTATTCCATTAAAAACCGCCAAGTCACAACTCACATTTCAGCAGATGAAAAATCGCTTGTGACACCTCTCATGGGTGTACTGAGGCACTCTGGTGTAGCAAAATGGCGCCAACCGGAAGTGCGTCACCACGTCACTACGTCACATCTACGCGTTACGCCACGCCCTTCGTAGCTTCATCCTGACGAAGCTACGAGGGGCGTGGCGTAACGCGTAGATGTGACGTAGTGACGTGGTGACGCACTTCCGGGTTGGCGCCATTTTGCTACACCAGAGTGCCTCAGTACACCCATGAGAGGTGTCACAAGCGATTTTTCATCTGCTGAAATGTGAGTTGTGACTTGGCGGTTTTTAATGGAATAAACGTGATATACAGTTTTGCACTATGGAGGATCTTTGTGTTTTTGTTTCATGATTATCACCATCCCATGAGTTTTTGAATACATGTACAGCGGTACCTATTCAAGGGGAATAGCAGATGGTGAAGGAGAGAGTACTGGAGAGTGAAGAGTGTCTTGCACCTGGAGATAACGCATAGGGTCAAGGTGTGACCCGTAAGGCTATTTGGCCCCTGTGGGTCGCAGGGGGAAGGTGAGCGGGCATGCTAGCCATTTTAAGGATTGTCACCTACCACTTTGCACCAACACAGAAGCATGTGTGTCCTCTAAGAACTTATTTATGCATTTATATGTACTGTGGACTGCATTTGTATCTACAAACAGCAATCATATGCTATAGAGGGAATTACTGTGTGCCGTGGTTGTGCGGGCTGTATAACACCGAATTCACTTTCTTCTCACGGTTGAAATCCACTCTATTGTTAATTATATCAGCGCTGCATCAATATTGATTATTTGTATATTTATATGTCCATTTAAAAGGTGAGGATTGGATGTTGGCAGCTGTTTCTATATATTGTAAGCTTAGCAGCGCAGGTGGACTTATTACTTACTTTCAACATTGGAAGGATGATCAAGTCCGCACAAGTCAAGCAGGTTGACCAGAGGTGTAAACATCCCACGGGTTCCACACAGCTTCAAATGAGATTATAGAATCGGCATGTGAAGCGGTTAGATATTCCATTTTTCTGATATCTGCAATAATCTTAAATAATGTCAACATTGAGGGAGGTGTAGGGGAGAGCCAGCTCATTGGAATGCTTCTCCTGGCCGCCGTCAAAATATGCACAGAGAGTCTCCTCGATGGTCTAGAGAGACCTGGAAAGGGCAGGCCCAATAAAAAATAAAGAGGCTCAAAAGGGAGAGAGGAATGTAATACCAGTTGTAATAAGGCCAAAACCTCTTCCCAAAAGGGAGTGATAAGCCTACAGTCCCAAAAAATGTGAAAAAGGGAGCCGGTTTCCCTTCCGCAGCGCCAGCAAGCAGGAGAAGCACTCAGGTTAGCTTATATGATCATTTTGATGCAGGCTGAACAAAAGAATCCTATTAGTGTATGGTTAGCTTAAGGGTGGTCACAGACTTCTCAAATTTTGGCCAGTTTCTTGCTGAATTGGCTGAAGTTCGACTTGCGGATGTCCCTGCAAGCACCACAGGCTCAACAAAAGTCAATTTAAAAATCACCTGAGCCTGGAGGAATATTATCCCCTGAACAGCTTATCAGATGTGGTCACTGTTCAGGAGCGCCACTCTATTTAGGCAGCTGCTAAGTACGATAGCCGGTGGAGGAGATTCTCCCATTGACACTATTTAACATGGATAAGACTGAACAAGAGAAAAGAGGATGGAAAAAAAAAAGCCAGAAAAGTAAAGCAGCAATTCAGATCAGTTTTATAACTAGCACATTCAAAAATTAACTGCCATTGGCTGCCATTATACGCTTTGCTTATGTTTTCTATTGTCACTGGGTCATAAAGTTGTATACTGAGTGTTTGTTTTTTTTTTAATGTTGAAACTTCTTAAACTTGGTAAACTCAGAATTGTCACTAGATCTACTATAGACATACCATACTTACCTGGGGCCTAGGAGGGATAAATTTAAGGGTTTGATGCACTGCCAATAATATTATCATACTAAATTATTTTCTTTTGTTATCCTGACTAATAGGGAGCTTGTACTTATTTAGCTTCTTAAGGTGGCCATAAATTAAATTTCAATCTATGCCTGGCCAGTGCAGTTGAGCAAAAGTTGATCTATCGGTCCAACTGCCCTATGGGATGAAAAATTTGATCAGCGGCTGCAGCACTGATCTGTGCATTCTGAAAATGGAGGAGTCCCTCTGCCATCAGAAAACAGTAGCTCAGTGGGGAGGATTCCCCCATCAAGCTTGACTGTGTAGATGGGGGAAACGGTTAATTTTTGTTTTTCGTTCAGCCCACTGGCTGGATGAGAACAATTGAACCATGAATGTCCAGCTTTATTGTTGCTCTATGAATGCACATTAGCGACTTGGATTTTAAGACCCCCACCCTTCTCTCCGTAACTTGTGGCGTCATGAGACAGAGACAAGTCATGTTGCCCCTCTGCCTGGAAGCCTCCTGTACATTGCTTATAACAGAACTCCAACCAAACACAATTGAAGTATCTGTGAACCACTTTAGGCTAGATCTATAGTGTGTATTATCTATGTATGTATGTATATAAATATATGTGTGTGTGTGTATATATATATATATATATATATATATATATATATATATATATATATATATATATGCATGTGTATGTATGTATGTATGTATGTGTACATATATATTATGAGAGAGATTGCTTTAAGTAGTGATGATCAATTGTGCATGATCACAAGAACTTTGTTCAAATTGTAATGAAAATGCTGGGCAGAGTAAGTCACACCATTGCATTACTTTCTCGAAATCTGAGACCGATGAAAACCACTATGTAGTGACAAGGGCACTTGTTCATTTTATAAGGCTCATACGATTGCTGTTAAGGCTTTAACTTCCATTTATGTAAAAAATTTATTTCCTTCTGCTATTTCTTAGATATTTAACCTGATGAAGTTTGATAGCTACACTCGTTTCCTGAAGTCTCACTTGTACCAGGAATGCATGCTGGCTGAAGTGGAGGGGAGATCCCTGCCAGATCCCCAGGAGGTACCCAGCAGCCCAACCTCCAAACATAGCGTGAGCTCAGATCGTTCCAACATCTCTACTCCTAAAAAGGTACCAAATCTAAATCCCTGAGTGATTCAGTGCCAAGTGGTTTGATGTTAAGTCACTAGCAGTCAGTGGCTTGGTCACCAATGATGGGCACTCGTCAGCAGGGATTGATAATGAAAAATCACACACTGTAATTCTGTCATTAGGGGGGCATTTTCATGGGTTAAGGTGGTGGGGGGTCCAGCTACATTTGCAAAAAAAAAAAAATAAAAGGCCTGATGCTTCAATAGTTTTTTTTTTTTTTTTGGGGGGGGGGGGGTTTGTATTTGTTCTTTTTCAGGTCCATTAAACTATCTGGCTTTTCCAAGATTAACAAGTGTAAGAAAGAAAAGCCACACAGCTCCAATCAAATGCTGTAGCAGCTTCGGGAGTTGTTTTTTTTGCAAAAGGCAACACAGTTGAATAACCCCCTAGCAGCCACCATATAGTATATGGGAATCGGAATGCAGAAAATTTTCAGTATCTGCCTGCATGCTGAGGGGGATTTCATTCACATGCTGGTGGTAAAAGAAGAAAAAAAAATATTATTGAAATCGGCTATTGCTGCTACATGACGCACCACAAAAAGAGGGGGCTTCATGGATCTTGCCCTGGGAATTCTATATGCATTTATTAATGTGTCATTGGAACATTACTGTCTTATCATAGATAAATAAAATAAAAATGGTCTTGCAGATTTTTATTTTTTTTTTCTCCATTGATATCTAGGTTCTGACCCTTTATTTTCTCTCTGTATACAGCAGTCCAGTAAAAAGACTAAGTCAGGGCGATCTTTGAATGAGGAATCGGGAGGAGAGGAAGATGGCGATAAAAGGAAGAAGGGAACCTTCTTTTCCTGGTCCAGGAGTAAAAGCATTGGGAAATCACAAAAGAAGAAAGAAAATGGGGATGTTTCCAATGGTGAGTATTGGTGTGCTAAATGGCTATGAAGTGTAGGGACTGATGCTGTTACTGTCACTGATGGATGTCTACATCGCCTGTGTTCTAAGGCAGCACACAACCACCCACACATGTTTTGGACTCTCAGAAATACATTTGCATGGAATACAAAAGATTCCAGTCTCACTTCTTGCAATGTAGGCCACTTGTAGCTGCCCCTAAATAGTTTCTGCGGTTTTGTTGTGGGAATATTGTACTAGGCCCATACACCTAGTTCCAAACTGCTAGGGTGCCTGCTTTCCTAGTTTCCAGTTCTAGGTGAACTCACTGTCTGCAAACTGTCCCTTTCAGCCTCCAGTTATGTCCAAATTCCAGTTATGACATGCTATGTTGTCTAGTTTTGTGTGATACGAAGGACAGAACAAGACAGTTGGCCTAGGGGTATAAATGTACAGTCTCAGTCTTGTTTACTGTGACAAGTATAGTTAGCTGTTTGGCATTATGGAGGTGGGGGAGGGGGGGGGGCAGTAACCTAATGAAAAAACAATGTAGGAGAGAATATGTCCAGGTGGGCCAATGCAGCCAATCAGAATTAATGTATTTTAACATATAAGTAGGGTTGACAAGGATATACAACAATGCTGTAGCTTGTTACCCAAACATTGTTCTAAAATGCAAAAAAAATTTTGCTAAATGCTAGAAAAGCCTAAAATATTGTGGCCTCCCTATCAGTTCTGGATAGGCAGTCTGACGTATGGCGTTAAAAGCTTTTTGTGTATCAAGACGTTGGTTGGATGGATCATTGTTTGTAAAGGATTGTCATTGCCCTGATGCCACTGAAACAAGAGGCAGGCTTTAATTTCTGCCAAAAACTTCACTGAGAAAGTGTTTGAAGTTTTCTAGCAAATGAGCGTCTCCTGGAGCTCTCCTTTAAAATGGAATTGCACTGCATCTGAGCACCTCAAACCAAAATTGCTATTTTAATTCATTGTTAATATTCAAAGCAAACTCGCCCATCCATGCTTTTATTTTGCTGAGAAATCATTTTGAAAAACACCCCCTAGCATTTCTGGGAATGGTCATATTGAGTAAGGGCAGTTTTATTTATTACAGGTACATAGCGCCATCAATTTACGCAGCGTTTACATATATATTGTACATCCACATCAGTCCCTAACCCTCAAAGGGTGTACAATCTAAGGTAGATGATTCATGTAGCATTTACTTCCTGGAATCCATCAGCCCTTAGCTCAGGCATTGTCTGAGAACCCTCCCCCCTCCTGAAGACTGCTGGGATGTATGACATAATTTGTCTAGACTTGAAAATCAGGAAGTAACTGAAGAAATATAAATAAAACAAATGTTTTAAACAAGTAAATATGATTTACTTTCCTATCCATTTACTAATGCTAACAGCCTAAGGAATACAAATAGTCCATGTTGAATGAGAGAGTAAAGTTCCACTTTAAGTTTTACCATATTGGTCATAATTCTGTTTAGTCAGTGCATCTTTCCATTTTTTTCCCAATGGAAATACTTTGCCATTAACCAGCACAGTTTCAGAGTTTACAGCTGATGGTCTCCTCTTCATCATTTTCCTGGCAGACTCCACTTTTGTCAACGGGGGTCCTGGCAGGAGGCGCGAGTCGCAAGGTTCTGTGTCCTCTTCAGCAAGCCTAGAGATGATTAATTGTGGAAGTAATGGCAATGCGCTGGAGGTAAGGACCATGCTCTAACTGTAATTGTTTTACAAGGCAGCGACTCTTATCGGACCACTTGACAAGGAACCCTTTAAGAGCCTGGAGCCCACATTATGCATGCTTTAGCTAAATGGTCATATGGATTCTTGTGACCTTTTGTAATCTAATTTTCATGTAATGTGCTTGTCTCACCCTGGAAAAAGATTTATTGTAATCCTATTAGAGGAATCCATTACTGACATCACACAGTCTAACACAAGTGCCTGAAGGAAGAAGTGTTGTCATCCTTAGTAGCCTATCAGCCCCCCCCCCCCCCCTTTTTTTTGGTTCCTGTGCAATGTTTATTTTAAATGCTATTTCACGAAATAGTCATCTTTTCATCATGAACTTTGCAAATTTACACATTGTATTGCCGCCCTTACTGGAGACATTAAATAAGTCATGTTGTATTCGTTCTGCTGTTTATCAGCTTTTTTTTTTTTTTTTTTTTGTGTCCTCCAAAGTTTGAATCGTCCAGAGTATCGTCTTCTGAGAAATCCCCTAAACACTGCTACATTGCTCTGCCAGATGGCTCGTCCTGTGCCATGGTTGTGAAGGCTGGTTTCTCCATTAAGGAAATCCTGAGCGGCCTCTGTGAAAAGCATGGCTTTAATATTGCTGCAGTGGATCTGTTTTTAGTTGGCGGCAACAAGGTAAGACCCTTTTCTGCTAAGGTGGGCTCTACGTCCATGTTTTTTTCTGGCATTAGAGTGATGCAGTTTGAGCCCTCAAGTTGGTCTGTGGGACAAGTGGCTGGATCTTCACTGATCATCCACCCTCCATCACAAGTAAGGTTCTGCCATGAGCTGGTATTTCTAGTTTTCCTTCGCTAGAGATATATTTCTTCAGATTGTCCACAGGACAAAGTGAGCATGCAGAAGAATGGGAGTTAGGTTTGGATAGGGGGTGGAAAGCTGCCAAAAGTGGTTAGTTTATGTGTTGGGATTGGAGAGTAAGGATAAGGGAATGAAGTTAAAATAGAAGTGTTAAATGCTTACGTTAGAGGTTACATATTGTGGGAAAAAGTTAGTGAACCTATGGGTCAAATATTTGCATTTTCCTAACAAATATTAACATAACTTTAAAGGAGCACTTAACCCCTGTAACTGTAGGCACTGGGGAGCAAGTCATCCTTCATTTTTCCCAAAAACAGACCATTATGGTTATAGGTTTCTCAGCAGCTTAACTTCTTTGCTCCCTTTTGAGAGCAGTGATTTGGAAGTTTTTCAGCCTAAAACCAACTTTAGTGTGCCCTGTTGTGAACCTTGAGGATGAATGCCTGCAGCTACAGCGGGGTTTTTTTTAAAGCTCATTTACTGCTGGAGTATATAAATTGACTGGCAATAGTGTGGACCCACCTTTTTATGGGGTAAGTTTCATGGTTCAAATAAATGCAATTTAGTGAATCATGCAATTCCATTTGCTACCCCATTCAACTGTACTGGTGCTTAAAATTGTTGTGGGCCCTTTGTTTCCTCTCGTCTGCCACAACTTTTTAGCAATCCCTAGATAGCAGCTGTGAAAACTTTGTAAAAATTCACTTTACATACTTTCACTTTCCGTGCTTTCATCTCGTTTCTTCCATTAGCTGGCTGAGCAGTATAAAAATAAAGGCCCAACCAATCCGATAAGGAGGTAATTTGTTGTATCCCAGCAGATTAAAAACAAGACTGTAAATCAGACTTCTGAAGATCAAATTTCACAGCTGCTTTGTCACAAAGCATTAAGGACAGGTTAAATTTAGCAGAGTCAAGGCCTTGTTTTATGGGTTGGATTATTTTAATCTGTTATGATCGTAAAATGGAGGCTACCACTACTGAACTCTTGTTTTTTGAGAATGCTAGTTGCCTGGTTGTCATGCTGATGCTTTGGCTTTAAAGAGATCCTGTTGCCAGACCAATAATTTCCATTTCAATCCATCCATTATTTTACAGTGGATATAAAAAGTCTACACACCCGTTTAAAATGTCAGGTTTCTGTGATGTAAAAAAAAATTAGATACAGAAATAGTTTCAGAACTTTTTCCACCTTTTTAATGTAACCTATAAACTATAACTCAGTTGAACAACAAACTGAAACCTTTTAGGTGGAGGGAAGTAACAATAAAAAATAAAAATAATACGGTTGCATAAGTGTGCACACCCTTAAACTAATACTTTGTTGAAACAGCTTTTGATTTTATTGCAGCACTTAGTCTTTTTGGGTATGACTCTATCAGCATGGCACATCTTCACCTGGCCATATTTGCCCACTTTCCTTGCAAAAACACTCCAAATCTGTCTGTCAGATTGCGAGGGCATCTCCTGTACACAGCCGTCTTCAGATCACTCCACAGATTTTCAATCAGATTCGTGTCTGCGCTCTGGCTGGGCCATTTCAAAACTGTAATCTTCTGGTGAAGCCATTCCTTTGTTGATTTGGATGTATGCTTTGGGTTGTTGTCGTGCTGAAAGATCCTCTTCGTTTTCAGCTTTCTAGCAGAAGCCTGAAGGTTTTGTGCCAATATTGACTGTTATTTGGAACTGTTCATAATTCCCTCTACCTTGGTTAAGGTTCCAGCTACAGAAAAACAGCCCCAAAGCATGATGCTGCCACCACCATGCTTCACTGTGGGTATGGTGTTGTTTTGGGGTGCTATTTTTGCACCAAACATATCTTTTGGAATTATGGCCTTGGTTTCATCAGACATTTTCCCACATGCTTTTGGGAAACTTCAGATGTGTTTTTTTTGCAAAAATGTTTCACAAGAAAAGGCTTCTGTCTTGCCACTCTACCCCATAGCCCAGGCATAGGAAGAATACGGGAGATTGTTGTCACATGTACCACACAGCCAGTACTTGCCAGATATTCCGCTCCTGAAATGTTGCTGTAGGCTTCTTGGCAGTCTCCCAGACCAGTTTTTTTTTTTTTTCTCGTCTTTTCATCAATTTTGGTGGGATGTCCAGCTCTTGGTAATGATGTGTAGACTGTTACGCTATATTTTCTGCACATGATGATGACGACTGTCTCACTGTGTTCCATGGTATATCTAATGCCTTGGAAATTCTTTTGTACCCTTCTCCTGACTGATACTTTTAAACAAAGATGCTTTGGAAGCTCTCTGCGGACCATGGCTTTTGCTGTAGGATGCGACTTAAGATAATGTCAGGAAAGACCTACTAGAACAGCTGATCTTTATTTGGGGTTAATCAGGGGCACTTTAAATGATGGCAGGTGTGTACTGACTGCTATTTAACATGATTTTGAATGTGATTGCTTAATTCTGAACACAGCTACATCCCCAGTTATAAGAGGGTGTGCACACTTATGCAACCACATTATTTTAATTTTTTATGTTTACTTTTCCCCTGCTAAAAGATTTCAGTTTGTTTTTCAATTGATTTGTACAGTTTATAGGTCACATTAAAGGTGGAAAACGTTCTGAAATTTTTTATCTTTGTCTAATTTTTTTACATCACAGAAACCTGACATTTTAACAGGGATGTGTAGACTTTTTATATCCACTGGATATATTCATTTAACTTATTTTATGCATGTTGCTAGTGGTTTTTTTTTTCTTTAAATTAAATTAACAAACATGTTATACTCCCCTGCTTTGTGCAGTGGTATTGCACAGAGCACCCCCAATTCTTCTTTTTGGGTCCCCCGCCACTGATCTTGACTCCTCCTCTTTTTCATGTGTCCCCATAGCAGTTTGCTTTGGAGGCACACGGTGTCTGCTCGCTCCCGAGCTGTGTGCCTTTTGGAGATGAGCTCCGTAGACTCTCTCAGCGGGACTTAGCCCGCCCACTTCCTCCTCACTTCATTTGATTGACAGTGTCTCCTCCTGCTGCTTGAGTCCTGTGTGAAGAGGAAAATAAGGAGAAGAGATGCAGCCATGCACAGCGCTGGATTTATTCTCCCCACTCTTCTTCTTCACACACGGAAGGTAGGGAGGCAGAGAAATAGAAAACTTTTTTTTACCTTAATTCCAGGAATGCATTAAGTAAAAAAAAGAAAAAATGTTTTTAGCTTTAGTATCACTTTAACTGTAAGACCTCTAAAAGCCCTGAGACTGCTGCTGGTTGATGCCGTCTTAGATGTGATATCAGCAAAAGCAGATGTCACTCAAGTGGTTCTCTCTAGTATTCCCCTTCACTCCTTGCAGGCACCCCATTGTGATGTCTGTCTGAAGACAAGGTCACTTTAAAGCCTCTGGTGCTCAGTACAGACATCTGCACACAGCAGTGGCCGGCAGTGAAAGTGTTCGAGCTCCTGGCCCTCTTCGCTCACAAGTAGCAGTGTGTAGAATGTCCTTGATTTCCCCCCACAATGTGTAATTTATTGTGTGCTTCTGTTTATTTTGTCTTCGCATGTAACTCAGCCGCTTGTTCTCAGCCAAGACAGCAGCATTCTGGAGTCCCGGGATCTAAGAATAGAAAAACGGACGTTGTTTCGGTAGGAGAAACCAAATGAATCTACCAAATGTAACATTTTGGGCTGCTGGGAGGTTTTCCATTGCGGACCCTCCTGGCAGTATTCCTTTCCTTTCCAGTATATTTAATAAATGTATTTAATCAGAGTCTGCGCTCCACAGTCTACCAAACTAAGAATCTCTCTGGGGTTATTACAGCCATGGATCATTTCACGTCTACTCGTGTTTTCCTCTGTATGGAATTTTGCAGCTAAAACAATTTGAAAAGAATGAACTCCATGAAAATGTTTTGCAGTGTTATTGTTATGGTTTGTAAAGCCTGAGAATAATTAAATGTAAACTCAACATTTAAGCTCGAAAGAGCAGGGCCCTCGAACCCCTCGTGTTTTGTTATATTACTGTATTGTCTCATGTTCTGTCCCCCACTATAATGTACAGCGCTGAGCAAACCTTTTAGCGCTATATAAATACTGTATAATAATAATCTAATAGAAAGTTGGATAGAAGCTTGGGAACACCTTTTCTATGGCTTTCAAACTAGTGGCACTTATATGCAAATGATGCATGCTTTACCTTGTTTCCTCTGGTTGTACGCATATATACGGCTGCTGGGTGGGTGGGCTTTAACACAAAGCGCATATTTCATCAATAGGGAACGCCTTTTCAGTGCTGAGAGCATGCTCACTAAACTGTCATTGCAGCTCCTAATGCATACTTGCAGTCAGAAGTTTCCGATCATTTGACTGCTGTGACAGCCAATCACTGCAGTTACAAGATTGAAAAGCCCACCTCCTCCGCCTCTTGGCATTTATATCCTTTTAAAGGGCCAGGGAGTTGGCAGCAAAGGGGTTATGAAAGAAAATCGAGCTTTAGCATAACCCTGCCACCTTTTTGCCTTATTTTTTGGTCATTGAGGCCTCCCATCCCATCATCTTAACAACTTCAGATTTTACTCCCTTCATTTCCAGGCTATTTGTTGCTGTTTGGCACTATGCTACTTTAACTGGTAATTGTGCAGTCATGCAATGTTGTAAGTAAATGCAATTTTATTTTTTTTTCACACAAATAGAGCTTTATTTTGATGGGTTTTGGTCACCACTCAGTTTTTATATTTTTTTTAAATTATAAATGAAAAAAGCCCCAAAATTTTGAAAAATAGTTTTCTACTTTCTGCCATAAAACATATCCAATAAAAAGAACAAACAAATTTCCTCAAATTTTGGCCAAAATGTATTCTGCTACATGTCTTTGGTAAATAAAAATAAATAAAATAAAATCCCAATAGGTGTATATTCATTGGTTTGTGTGAAAGTTATAGCATCTACAATCTATGGTATAGATACTGAAATTTTTATTTTTTATACTAGTAATGGCAGTGATCAGCGACATATGGTGTGACTGCGATGGTGCGGAAGGCAATCTGACTCTAACACTGGGGGGGAATTGACTAACTGCCACTGACATCTCCAGTGACACTAATACAGTGATCGGTGCTAAAAATATACACGGTCACTGTACTAATGACACTGGCTGGGAAGGGGTTAACATCTGGGGGCAATCAAGGGGTTAAATGTGTATCTACGTCCTCATGCACACTGGATGTTTTTACAGCGGCTGTTTTTGGCTTTGGAAGTTTTTTTTTCTACAGCCAGTAAACTCCCCAGCATGTTATCCTATGTGTCCATGCACACATGGACTGGAATCCAATGTTTTTTTGGCTGGGAAAAAAAACCCAGAACTATGGGTTTCTACAGGAGTTTTTTTAGCTTTAAAAACGCTCTAACGCTGAAAAACACGGTAAATCGCTGCAAACCAGCGTTTTTGGGCCTTTTTTTTTTGCCCCCCCAAAGTTTTGGTAAAAAAAAAACGCAGCTGAACGCTAATACAAAAACGCTGAAAAACGTGACTTTACACAGCTGACGTTATCGGCGTTCGTCAAACGCCCAGTGTGCATGGAGCCTAACAATGTTTAGTATATTTACTGCGTGCTGCTTTACTAAGCAATGGGCCTGTTTTTACTCCATGCTTTGCAGGGGAGAAAAATAAAAGACATTGCTGCTGTCTATAGAGAGCCCTGTGATTACCAACACAGGGCTCTCTTCTGTCATTCGATCCACGGGTCCGGGCCATAAATAATTGGGTGGGAACTGCTGATTGGCTTGTGCTGGAGCAAATGACAGCACAATCTTCCGGGCCCACGTGCGAGCCAACCTGGAAGAAAGCTGCAACATTACGGGTATGTGATTGTGCCTGTACAAGCCAACCTGCCACAGTACATGAACTGCAGCGGGTCAGCAAGCGGTTAAAGCGGACCTTTCCCCTCATTAGACTGTGACTATTACTGTGCTTACTGTGAAAAATCATTAGATCTACTTATTTTGATCCTTGGCTAGCTGCTTCTTCCATGTTTTCAAAGCCAGTTCACCAGTGACATCAGCGCCAGATCTGTGTAGGAAAAAAGAAATGGGCTTTTTCCAGAAACTTCATGAGATCTGGGGAAAAAACTTTTTTTTTTTTTTCTTCAACTCGGATCTTGCAGTTTACCTACAAGATCGCCTTGGAAGGCATTCATGATGTAGCCTTCCTAGGGGACAGCTGTGTGGTCATCTAAGCCTCAGTCAATCAGTAAAATGTAAGCAGCAGAATAAGTGTTTTATCTCATAAGTGACGTTACTGGCATGTGTTTTGGGATCAGCACATCATGCATCAGGAATTCTCAGTGTTTGTTGGAGACTAAGGTCCATTTGAAGTAAAAATGTGCTTTGCCCATTCAAGGTAATGCAACAGAACAGGTTCACTTTGCACACCTCCAAAGACCCACATACTTACCTTCTTTTAGCTCCTTTCAATCACTGAAGGTTATGGACTACCCTGTGATGGCACTGATTGGCTTAGCATCATTACATGGGAGAGTCACATGCCCCTCCATGCCTGAAAATATGCAGTTGAGCCAGCTATAGCACATAGAGTGTGTGTGGTGGGGGGTGGTAATACTCTATCACTCAGTACCTCTGTTGCTCTATTATGCTTTTACAGGCTATTCAGATGTCCAGTGTTTATAATGGGAATTGTTCAGACTTTGCTTGTTACCAAGCAGGAACAATAGAGACGGGGAATACTTCATCTGTAAAAGCTTTTTGTAAACTGCTATGGAGAGCTTGAAATCTAAACATTCTCAGGCATTTCTATAAAAGTGTAAAGGTGTAACACAGTACAGTAGATGATACATTTTTATTTACAAGTGATGATTTTTACTGCCCCACCTGTGACAAATTTGTTACACAAACTATTTGACTTTATTTTGAAATAAAAAAAATAATAAATTGCGTTCTTTTTGCATTGAAAAGATAATAGGAGGTCAGAATGTTAAAGTAGAACTTATTTGGTCTATTTTCATGAAATGTTTCTTTATTTGCTTTTAGATTGGATCTTGTACCAATTAACAGATCAGTGGGATTGAAAGCCAAACCGACAAAGCCTGTGACTGAAGTCTTGCGTCCCGTTGTGGCTAAATATGGGCTGAACCTTCATGAACTTGTTGCTCGACTTGTAAGTCAGTTTTCACTTCCAGTTTGATATAGCACAGCTTTTTAGAAGTTCTGCACAAAACAAAATGAAAAAGCAAAAAAGTAATAAAATTGTTAAGCCTCTTATCTAGGTTGATGTAATATAGTCTGTGTTGTGAACCCAGTGAAACTAAAGGGAGCATGCTCTCCTTCCCAAAGCTCCTTTGCCAGAGCCGTCTTTTCCTGTGTGCCAGGTTATGGCCATCTTCATTGGCCGGCGCAGTGTGATGTCACTGTTGCACATGCGCAGGAGCTGACACACAGGATCGACCCAGCCACTGTAATCTGCACAGCTCTGCTCACAGTCCAGAGATCACTGTGAGCAGACAGGTAGGTATGTTTTATTGCAGAAGAGTGTTACTTTAGTTTTGCTTCAAATATACACTAGTAATAGTCCATATGCAGTAAAAACAAATGGAACTGTTTAACTCTAGATTGTTCTGTCCTTGCAGAGTGGGGAGCAGGAACCTCTAGACCTGGGTGTCCCTATATCCACCCTGGACGGCCAGAGAGTTGTATTAGAGGAAAAGGATGGTTGCAAAATTAAAGGTAAGTGAACTCTCTCTTACTCACTTTAATACCTTTTCATATCCTGTTTAGTTGGTATGATAGAGCCTCAAATAATATCCGCTCTCTTTACCCATGGGTCATTGGGGCCTAAATGTCCAGGTCACATTCATTGCGCATCAGTGCAAGTCAGATTTATCTGGTACATCATATGCCGAGCATGTCATGTCCCATTATGCTCATTGAGCTTTCTGCTTACTAATTTTAATTTTCTCAAAACCTTATACTGTATATGTTGATATTTAATGTGTTTGATTGCAGACAAAGGAAAGACTCCTCTGATGAAGTCAAACCCTGCAATATCCAGCTCCAGGAACTTCCCATCTACGGTAAGACAAGGATCTGAGCAGAGGAACTCCTCTGTCACTTTTACACCACAGTGATTAGTTGTCCTTGAAGTCAAGTTTGTGGGACTAGGCTCCTCACAATCTGAGAGTCAGAAAATTTACTTAAAGCCTATGTTTAGGTAAAACTTTTTTTTTTTTTTTGAGAAATCGGCACAGGTAGAGAGTCAGATACTTACTTTTACTCTGAAGTGGCCCTTTACTGGTGCCTGCTGTCATATTCTAAATCCTCTGTCGTCCTCCCATACTCCTCAACTGTAATCTTATGATGTTGTGGGGGTTTAATATTGCCAAAGGACTCCTCAACCGTGCCAACTGTGCCTGCATTTTCTGCCCCCCTCTTCCATTCATAGGAGCTGTACTATCGATTCCTCTCTATTAATGGAGGATGGGCAGATGAATAAAAGTTTATACCAAAACTTAGGCTTTATTTGGTATGGACAATGGCTGTTGGTGTCAGTATGTATTCTTTAGTGTGACTGTTTATAGAAAAAAAACTGCGGGCAGGTCAGTGGTTTAATTTGGTGGCCTTGCACTTGGCTTCTGTACCTAGCAGGAACACACTCTTCTGGCATATATGTTCTTATGCTTACATGCATTTTTTGACTACAAGCCCCAAATACTTTCCTGATGGCCGCAAAATTTGCTCTTTGAATTCAGGTGGCCCAGTGATTCCATTTTATTGTTCGGTCTGGCCGTGGCAGATGCACTGACTAGGGTTTCTGTTTGCTTTTTGTGAGGAATTTTTGTTAGCTTTAACAGTTAAGTGGGCAGATTCTGTGAATCGAAAGATGAAAATGGTGCATACGATTGTACCATCATTTGTTTTGTTTTTCTAAAGAAAAAACCCAGCATGTTGGATCAGGCACTTGACTGCGGCACAAAATTGTGTGTTGCAGCTTGTACACCAATGTTGCAAAGAACGAACGATTCATCTATCAACAGGATTTTCGACTCATCTTTTGCTGGCTTCAGTGAGGGTTGCTCTAAGATTTCCCTAGATGTTGGATGGCAAGGAGATCAACCTCTAAAAGGCTATAACAAAAACTTTCACATTTGTCCCTGCTGAGTGTGAACAGGCCTTTCTGCCACTGGGCCTCCGCTGTGGGGAAGAACAGTGATTGGCTTGAGAAAGTCCACCCCAGCCAATTGGGTTTGAGCACATGATGGTCTTTATAACCACTACCAATGAGTAAAATATACCGTATTTTTCGCTCCATAAGACGCACTTTTTTCCCCCAAAAAAGGGGGGGAAATGTCAGTGCGTCTTATGGAGCGAATATGGAGCGGCCAGTCCGGTATTTCCACCGCCGTGTCAGAATACCGGGCCAGCCGCTCAGCTCTTCAGCGGGACCTTATGGAGATGACTGCTGACCTTTGGGGAGGTGGGGAGCGGGTACCTGAATTTGACAGGTACCCGCTCTTACTTCCACGGAGTTGTTCTTTGATCTTACCTGTTCCTCTATCCAGCGGCGCGCTGTCTTCCCGGCTTCTTTAGTGTGGGCGCTGGGCAAGACAGCCGGGTGCCAAGTGCGCATGCGCAAGAAGCGGTGCTTTTTGTGAATGGTAAGGCGGTACCTGGGACACATGACAGATCCCAGAAGCCGCCGGACCAATCACAAAGCGCAGCGCTTCTCGCTCATGCGCACTGGGCACCCGGCTGTCATGCCGAGCGCCGACATTACAGAAGCCGGGAAGACAGCGCGCGGCTGGATAGAGGAACAGGTAAGATCAAAGAACAACTCCGCGAAGTAAGAGCGGGTACCTGTCAAATTCAGGTACCCGCTCCCCCCCCCCCCTCCCCAAAGGTCAGCAGTCATCTCCTGTACTGTCCGCAGTCTCTGGTCATCCCTGTGCTGTCCGCAGTCTCTGGTCATCCCTGTGCTGTCCGCAGTCTCTGGTCATCCCTGTGCTGTCCGCAGTCTCTGGTCATCCCTGTGCTGTCCGCAGTCTCTGGTCATCCCTGTGCTGTCCGCAGTCTCTGGTCATCCCTGTGCTGTCCGCAGTCTCTGGTCATCTCCTGTACTATGTCTGCAGTCCATTAGTTCAGAATTTTTTTTTTCCTGTTTTCTGCCTCTAAAACCTAGGTGCGTCTTATGGTCAGGTGCGTCTTATGGAGCGAAAAATACGGTAATTCTTTTCTTTTTTTTTTTTTTAAGAACCAAAATATTTATTTTGCTGTGGACTGGAGAAGTTCACTTGTGGATTTGCTAGCTTTCAGCTGTAAAAACTACTTGGCTGTTTAATGCAAAATACATAATATGTTTGGCAGGGTTACAGGGAAATTTGGCAGCAAGCTGGAAAATCGCCTTGAGTGAAAACAAATGCTTTCAACTATCAGAAGTGATTATTATCCCCTTAGGATTAATCTGTTTAGGTCTACCTTTCTGTCTTATTGTACATTATTAGGCTGTTTATGGACTCATATATTCAATAAGGCAGTGTGCAGTATTCTCTCCCTGTGGAACTGCACAGAGTAATCTTGAACTTCCTCTTCTTGGGTCCACCGCCAGCGCTCCTGGCTCATCCTCTGTCTAGTGCCCCATAGGAATACGCTTCGTATGGGAGCACTTGTGTATGCTCACTCCCAAGCCCTGCTGTCTGCAGCCATGGACACAGATAGCAGGAAATGCGCACCCCCTCCTCCTCCCCCCACACACGCCCTCTTCACTGGCTTTGATTGACAGCAGCAGGAGCCAATAGCGATGCCCCAGCAAAGGCTGAGACACCAGAAACTGAATGGAGAGAGGAGCTGTAAATGTGCACAGGGCTGGATCGAATGAGGGATCAGGTAAGTAAAAGGGGGGAGAAGTAAAGGGCTATACTGATGCCTAAACCATTTTTACTTTAATGATTGGAATGCATTTTAAGGTAAAAAATGGTTAGACTTTATAACTACTTTTACAAGTATTCCTTTTCCTGATCTAGCTGGTTGCCATGGTTTACTTCACTTTACTCATTGTTGGTGTGTGTTGCCCTTTTCAGAAAACCCAGCAGTACTGGCAAGTGTAAGGGATTAAAGTAAATGTGAATCCTTTGTCTATGTTCTTACAGGTAGAAGATCGGCCTCTTGTAAAGTCTTCCTCCATTAGACTGAAAGGGGAATTTGGGAAAGGAGCAAGAGATTTTCGGCTACAGAAAAAAGACGAAGCAGTGCTAAGAGTGGGCAGAAAAAAGCAGCATAAAATTAATCTGGATGAAGCGGAAGGTAAATGCCTTGAAGTGCACTGCTCCATTATGCTTTAGGTGCATATGTAGTCAGGTAGCATGCTGTAAAAGTGTCAGCTAGAGAATATTGGCATTGCCACAATGGGGTGGTCCCCCAGTAGAACACTGTCAAAAAATGTTGCCTTTTCCCTTTTGGTCCCTCAGCAGAATGGCTGCACTGTGCACAGCACCCACTGTGAGTACTGCCATTCTACTTAGAGGCCATGGGAATGTGCGCTGCTTGCAGGTGTGAAACAGGAATTCTGGGTGATTGAGTATTAAGTCTAGGGAGAGCCCAGGAATGAGGATGATCATGTGCATATGGTTGTCATTCCTACATGGGATGGTACTCTGGGAGTTCCCTATACTGTGCAGGAGGGGGCTTGGGGCGTGTGTCTGCAGATCATTCAAAGAGGCTAGGGTGAGAATGGGGTATGATAAATATTCATCTTTAAGGGGAAAGATGAGGGTATTTATCAGCACATGGTAAGAGAAGGAGAAATCTTTGGTTGGTTCTTGCTGTTGAATTGTATGATCTGGATCCCTCTACTACAAGGGGTATACACCAATCATCCATAATATTGAGTAGGTCCCCCTTTTGCTGCCAAAACAACTCTGACCCGTCGAGGTATAGACTTCACTAGACCTCAAAGGATCTGCTACTGTGGCTTGATACCACAGCACACCTTCAAAGTCCTGTAAGTTGTGAGGTGGGGCCTCCATGGATCATACTTTTTTTTTTTTTTTTTTTTTCAGCACATTTCACAGATGCTCGATTGAATTGAGATCTGGAGAATTTAGATGCAAGTCAACACTTTCTTCCATTGCTCCAAGGTCCAGTTCTAATGCTCACATGCCCATTGTAGGCACTTTTGGCAGTGGACACGGGTCAACATGGGCACCTGACTGGTTCATGGCTACGTAGCCCTATATACAACAAACTTTGATGCACTGTGTGTTCTGACAACTTTCTATCGGAACCAGCATTAACTTTTTCAGCAATTTGAGTTGTAGTAGCTCTTCTGTTGGATCAGACTACATGGACTAGCCTTCGCTGCCCAAGTGCATCATTGCACCTTGGCCACCCGTGACCCTGTCACCAGTTTTCCTTCCTTGGACCACTTTTGGTTGGTCCTGACAACTGCAGGACCAGAACATCTCACAAGAGCTGCAGTTTTGGAGTTGCTCTGACGCAATCATCTAGCCATTATAATTTGGCCCTTGTGAAATTCGCTCAAATTCTCACGCTTGCCCATTTTTTTTTCTGCTTTCAACACATCAACTTCAGAGACAACATGTTTGATTGCTATCTAATGTATCCCACCCACTTTCAGGTGTCATTGTAAGGAGATAACCAATGTTATTCACTTTATCGAACAGTGGTTATGTTATGGCTGAGTGTTGTACATTGCCTTGAAAAAGTATTCATGCCCCTTGAAATGTTCCACATTTTGTCATGTTACAACCAAAAATGTAAACGTATTTTAAAATGATAAACGGTTTTCAAAAGTTTTTACAAATATGTGAAAAGTGTGGCGTGCATTTGTATTCAGCCCCCCTGAGTCAATACTTTGTAGAACCACCTTTCGCTGCAATTACAGCTGCAAGTCTTTTTGGAGATGTTTCTACCTGCTTTGCACATCTAGAGAGGGACATTTTTGCCCATTCTTCTTTGCAAAATAGCTCAGGCTCTCTCAGATTGGATGGGAGAGCGTCTGTGAACAGCAATTTTCAATTCTTGCCACAGATTCTCAATTCGATTTAGGTCTGGACTTTGACTGGGCCATTCTAACACATGAATATGCTTTGATCTAATCCATTTGATTGTAGCTCTAGCTGTATGTTTAGGGTCATTGTCCTGCTGGAAGGTGAACCTCCGCCCCAGTCTCAAGTCTTTTGCGGACTTTAACAGGTTTTCTTCTAGCTCCATCCATCTTCCCATCAACTCTGACCAGCTTCCCTGTCCCTGCTGAAGAAAAGCATCTCCACAACATGATGCTGCCACCACCATGTTTCACATGTGGGGATTCTTTGTTCAGGGTGATGTGCAGTGTTAGTTTTCTGCCACACATAGCAATTTGCTTTTAGGCCAAAGAGTAAAATTTTGGTCTTATCTGATTAGAGCACCTTCTTCCACGTTTTGAAAGAAGCCATGTGGGGGACACCACAAACTGCAAACCGGATTTCTTATGGCTTTCTTTCAACAATTGCTTTCTTCTCGCCACTCTTCCATAAAGGCCAGATTTGTGCTGTGCACAGATTCGTCCACCTGAGCTGTGGATCTCTGCAGCTCCTCCTGAGTTACCATGGGTCTCTTGGCTGCTTCCTTGATCAATACTCTCCTTGCCCGGCCTGTTAGTTTAGGTGGACAGCCATGTCTTGGTAGGTTTGCAGTTGTGCCATACTCTTTCCATTTTCGGATAATGGATTGAACAGTGCTGCGTGAGATGTTCAAAGCTTGGGATATTATTTTATAACCTAACCTTGCGTTAAACCTCTCCACAATTTTATCCCTGACCTGTTTGGTGGGTTGCTTGGCCTTAATGATGCTTTTTGTTCACTAAAAAACCTCTGAGGGCTTCACAGAACAGCTGTATTTATACTGAGATTAAATTACACACAGGTGGACTTTATTTACTAATTAGGTGACTTCTGAAGACAATTGGTTCCACTAGATTTTAGTTAAGGGTATTCGCGTAAAGGGACGTGAATACAAATGCACATCACACTTTTCAAATATTTGTAAAACATTTTGAAAACCATTTATCATTTTCCTTCCACTTCACAATTATGTGCCACTTTGTGTTGGTCTGTCACATAAAATCCAAATAAAGTACATTTCGTTTTTGATTTTAACATGACAAAATGTGGAAAATTTCAAGGGGTATGAATACTTTCAAGGCACTGTATATGAAAGCAGTGTCTTCTATAATTTGGTGGCACACCTTAGCTTCCAAGGTCATGAGGTGGGCACCACTCTTCATAAAGGTCCATCAGTCAGTGAAACCTCTTCCCTGAGCTTTTGTTAACCACTCTTCCCATTCCCAGTCTGTTGTATGCTGGAAATTAATCATACTAGCCTATTGAGACTGTTAGATTTTTACACTCTAGTTCTGGGCTGCATCCTAGGAGCCTCACCCCAAGAATGGTTGAAAAGCCTGCTGAAAATAGCTCTGGTTGCAGACATGTTAACACTAAGTCCAGGAGATGCACAAGAGGCCTATGGATGAGTCTGCTTTCTAACAGAGTGGAATGATCCGTTATGGGTGGCTGAATCTTTAACATTATTTGGGATTTACAGATACACTTGGTGTACAATACATAGGAATCAAAGCTAAAAGCACCACTTAAAAAAAAAAACCAAACAAATGAAGACTAAAATTATTTTGGGACAATGTAAATTTTTTTGTAGGATGTGGTTTCTTACTCAAATATTTTTTCCCCTTCTAGCCTTTTTTGAGATGATTTCAAAAGCACAGAGTAATCGGGCAGAAGACCAGCGTGGCCTCCTAAGGAAAGAAGACCTGGTCCTTCCAGATTTTCTTAGATTGTCACCTCCCAGTGAGACTTCTTCAGCTCCAGGAGCAGGACAGACTAGCAGAAAAAGGATGGAGAAGAGCAGCAGCCTTGACAAAGGCGCAAATGGTGCTTCCCGCGGGTTCCTAGGTACAAAACAAGACTTCACCCAAAATGGTGCAGACAGGTCTGCCAAGTTCAGTGGATCGGGGAAAAGAGACAAAGCCGAAATGGTGCCACCTTCTGGAAGGAAGCCGTATGTTCCGTTTAACCCTCCACTGTCTCCAATCCCTCATGTCCAGGACATACATATCCCCAGCCGCGAGCGGCCTTCAAAAGACTTGTCTGCTGGGAACATACAGACTGTCGAAGACGACAATGTGGCGGATCTCACCCTAGTGGCGGAAGGAGACATTAGCAGCCCCAATAGCACTTTACTTCCAATGCCCCCATCACCACCATGCAACATTAGTAAGCTGTCTGAAGCCAACTTTTCACCCCCTCCTCCCTGCACAGGCAGCCAAGATAGTTCTGGATGTCAGAAATCAGGTATTTCTGGATTTTAAGTTTACGTTCTGATTTTACAAACCACTCTTTCCATTTTATGTATATACTTTTCATTTTCTTTTGAGTTTTGCACTTTTTAAAATATTGCAGATTTGCACGTTTTATTTGTTTATACAGTATGTACATATGAGGTCGCTGTTCATATCAGAACACTGATGCCAGTAAGGCCAGCAGGAACCGTTTACAATTCAAGTGCCAAAACTGTTTACAGAATCAGATCTGTTATAATGCTGGCCACAAACTTTCAGACCGGGGGGCAGGGAGGTATTTTTGATACCTACATGAGGTTGCCGTACTTTTACAACTTGTGTGCTGATGCTTTACATCAGAGTAATTTGCTGCGCTGAGCTTTCAAGCTGATAAGTATGTTGTCAAATTCCTAATTTTAGTTTGTAAATGATATCAAACACCCATTATAGACTTTTTTCATGAAAATAGATTATCTGAGTATGTAAAAGTAACTGGAAGAAACTGCTTAATTTAGATTTGATCAGAAAGGAAAATGAACGCATTTGGTCTCATTGACACGGCAAAAGAAAGTAATAAACTGTAAAGATTGGAGGTGGGCAGCATCCACATGCCAGACTGGAAAAATTGATTTTTATTTTTTCATTTTAAATTTGTTTTATTATAATTCATGTGCTCACGCTTTTTTCCAGATTAGAGCAGTTAGATCTCTGCAGAGTGGAAGTTTTTATTTTATGATTTTTTATTTTTTTTTTGAATTTTTTTAAATCTTTAACCTTAGAGAGCGCAAATCTCTACTCTCACTTTTTTATGTAGATGAACAAAGCGCACATGATGGCGAGGACATACAATTTTAAATGTTGATGTAGTTTTAAACTTAACTTGAACATTTACATATATGATCTCCTTCTGTCTTAGGCTGGTTCACAGTTTGGCTGTCGTTTTTTTGTTTCATTTTTTTATTTTTTTATATAAAACAGTCATCAACTCTTTGAGCACATTTAACAAAGCAGCGCAGAAAGCACCAGTGATAAGCAGCCAAAACTATGAAATAGTTGCGACAGACTCTGCCATTCAGAATGCTCTTTGCCTTTTTTTTGAAGGTCTATAGGAGACAGTAGGGTATTATATTTACTTGATTTTTTTTTTTTTTCTATACAAAGAATATATATCACACCAGGTCTATTGAAGGACTGGCCAAATATTGATCAGATTGTATAATTTTGTACATTAACTGGTTTTTATTTTTTTATGTTCAAACATTAATCAAAATGTGGCATAAATTGTATATATATTTTATTGCGCTCATTTTTTTTTTTTTTTTTTTGTGGTTTCGCATAAGTGAGCCATTGGAGAGGATTGTAATTCTTGATTTCTCAGCACACATGAACTATACCTTTACTGGTCTTCTGTAAACAGAGCACATCCTATGTTTTGCATGTTTGCTGATAATCCAGACTATGTATAAATATTCTGTATAGTTTTTATCAGTCCTTTATTTTTTTATAGCAAACCATGTTATAGCAAGTGTGCCTTTTTTGATGCATGATCGTGTGTTTCAGTATAGTTTTTTGCTGTGATTCCTCGATGATTTGATATTGATTTCAATACATGCTATACATTCCTGAAACTTCTTTAAGACATTCTAACTTTTCCGTTTTTTCAAGTGTAGCAGTGGCAGCCATTTTGGAGTCTAAAGCAGGGGAGGTCAACCTGTAATCCACATCTGTGGTGAAACTACAATTCCTATCATGCCTCTGACAGTGACAACCCTGACTCCAGTGGAAAAGTCTTGCAATGCCTCATGGTATTTGTAGTTCCACTGCAGCTGAAATGCAAAGGTTGCCTACTGTTGGGCTAAAGAAAGGGCCGTTCTTGTTGTGTCTACAGCCAATCCGTTTCTCCATTTACTCAATATTGCATTTGGAAAATAAAAGGAAGTCTGGTTGCTGTACGCAAATGGAAACTGTTCCATAAGGCGTATATTGGCAAAAAAACTAAATCGCATAATGCACCAGACCTTTGATGCAAAGGCTGCTTTAGTTTTAATTTTTTAAATTTGTGCAGGTACAGAAATGATCTGTTGATCTCGCCAGAAATATAATGTTGTCACTTCCTATGAGTGCAAAACAAAGCAAGCAAAAACAAATGCACCTTACATTGTAAACTACTAATCCCATCAACCCATCTCAATGGAGATGAACAAAGGCAGACTCATTTGAAGTCCAGTCTGTCTGTCAGCCATGGCTCCTTCCACAGATACAAAGGAGGAGTGAGCATGGTCATCCACGGACAGGGAGTGTATATTTGCAGGTTTACCAGAGGAAAAACCTGAATAAACTAACGCAGCCACCTTATCCAAGGAATGGCAAATATATTAATTTTAATTTTTTTAAATTTTGCATATGTTTTAATAGCACATAAAGGGCACATGCACTCAAAGTACATTGCCTTTGTGTACATTGCATTCAAAGTGGGCAGTTCAAGATGTTGTCATAGCTAAGGCTCCAGTTTAGCACAAAAAGCTGCCATTGCCCACCTCCTGAAAGCAGTGTAGGTCAGAACCGTAAGATGTAATGTGTTCTATCCCAGAAATGGCTCTGGGCAATTCCAACTATTTAATGGCAATATGCACAGCAGCTGCATTACCAAGGATCAGTTATCTCTGAACTGACCCATGATACAAATGTAAGGGGAAGTACTAGTGTGTACGCACTTTTTGCGGAAGATAAAACTTGTTCAGGAAATGACAAACTATATTGCCATACATGTTCATGGCTCTTTGTTTTTTTTTGTCAGTCGGCCATAAATGGATCGAATCTAAGCCAGCTCAGCAGGGACCGGCCAACATTCGATCCATCTATGAGCAAGCTGGTTGTACTGAAGTTAATCCATCAATCGACTTCAGTACAACCAGCCTGTCATATTTTTTTTTTTTTTTGCATGTGATTACTGCCAGTGGCTATAGCTGCTAGCGGTGATTGTGTTCTGCTGGCAGAGCAGACTTCCCTCTGGCAGAATACACTATTGCTACGGGAGATTCCCCCATTATCACTGACTGTGTTAATGGGGGAATCGAGCAATTTTCTTTCCCTTCAACCTGTAGTGGAAGGAAAGAAAATTTGTATAATCTATGGCTTGCCTTAGCCAGTCACTCTAGTTGTGATATCACTGTAGAATAATACAAGCAATGAGAATAATAGCTGCTTGTTCTGCAGACTTGCTGTGCTTTAGAAAAAGAACTGCAGAATAAAATATAGAAATCTAAACGTAGAATAAATGCAGACTGAGAAATGCAGAATAAAATACGGAAGGAAATTTCAGACTTTTTGAAAACTTGTGATTGAGAAGTAAAATTGGAAACTGGTTGCTGTGGACAAATATCCTTTCCTATGGAATGTTTTTCATACATGGGGGTCCAATTGTCAGTAGGCCTCAGGAAATTTAATATTGTTGAAAACCTCATTATACAGGAATTATATTGCACCAACAACGTTTTACAAAATACATGACCCTGCTTTCCCATTCAGCTCTTAAACTGGCTGCCTTGCTGCACATACACGGGGTATTCTTTACCTGAAATGTGATGTCTCGGTGTAAAGACAACCTCCTTGTAGAATCCCATTAAGATGAATTTCATTCCTTCAGCTGATATTGTTGTATACTGCATGTAAATCCAATGCTGTCCAATCTGTAGCCTGTGCTCACACCTTCCTGCTCTGTAGATACCCCGATTGTAGACATTGTGTGTGGCATTTTGTACTGATCTTCTCAAAATGTAATAAACTCTTCTCTCCATTCTGCATCTCCCTTGCTTCTTTGTTTCTGCTTCTTTTTGGAGCGTTGATCTAACAAATTCATTCTAAAATGAAGAGAATACCATTTAATATGTATCACATGACCTAATTCAGTTAACACAACCATTAAATTACCTTCAACCTCATGAGTCTGCAGTGCAACTTATCTGTTTTTTTGTTTTTTTTTGTTTTTTAATTTTTTTTTAGACACATTCTATTCAGTAAAAATACATAAATTATTCTTGCATGAAAGTGTGTGTACCTATTTTCTGTAATGGCATGTTCTTTTCTAATGTGTTACTATCTGATGTATTTTTCTAACCCTCCATCTGCCAGAAGTTTCCAGTAGAGTGAATTTTTGAAACTGAAAACTACAGGGGGAACGGGCAACTCGGCTTGGGCATAGCTGTTTACTATGTTGCTCTTAGGCATTCGTTGATGTTAAACATAGTGTAGCAATGGTTGATCCAAATCCTTCATGGACGTCTTCCCTGCAACAAAGGTTTACAAAGCTACACATTCCCTTTCTACTGACACTTTTTGTGTTACTGACAACCCTGGAGCTTTGTGCCAGGACAAGAGTTTGGGATCCTCTTTATCTTTATATTGAACCTAGGTGCTTTTCTCTTGATAATATGCTATCAGTCATAGACCCTAATGCAAGTACTCTTCCAGAGATGTCTGTTGGGGTCCTCCATACCCTTTCCATTTTTGCCCACTAGGATTGGGCATTGATCATTTTAGGATGAAGGGTCGTTGTGCTTGACTCACGATATAGACACTGTATAATGGCCTGTGTGTCTCACTATATGGTAGATGTGTCAGCATGTGGCCACAACCTGCATCAACATCTGATTACTGCAGTCCACATGCTTCTCATTGTATATGGTCTACCTGGATCAGTACCTCTGTGGGTTACAGCCTGTGTTAACCATTGTGTTAAACACAATCTGGATGCACAGGCTAATGCACACTGCACACCACTACATTTACACCACTACTTGGGTCATCAGCTTCCAGCTCTGGCTGAGCTGTCAACCCTTTTCAGAACAGAGACGTTTGAGGAACCAGTGTGCTAGGAACAAGGGGTACAGCATCAATGCCCATTGGAAAGTGGAGCTAATTTGCTTTCGTTTGTAGTGAGTTATTACGAATCCTGTCGGTTCTGGCATCTGGTCAGTGTTTGGAAGGTGCACCATTCAGTCCTTGTCTGCCATG